GCGTCCCATAATAGCTTTGAATCATGTGGAAGATTCTGTTATATCTATCATATCTACTAGTTTATATCCCTGCCCAATAAATGGGGAGAGGAGTATGATGAGGACCTCTAACCTCAAATCCCCCATTAACTTCCCATTCTCCCTCTGCATCCTAGCAGCACTTGAAGTTATCAGGATGGTGACTCCTGGTAGGTGTAAGGAAACCAAACATTTAAGCCTTCTAGACAGAAAACCTTCTGATACAGAATTACTTAAGCTTCTTAGCATGAAAGACCCAAATCTGATCTTCAAATTATGACACAAAAACATTTACCCAGTTTGGTAAATGCTCTGGTTTACCCAGTATCTATTTATAAAGTTATCGCTGGCTCTCAGGCCAAATGCACAACTAGATGCTCACATGCACATTCACTCTCATTCTGAGACACACACAGAATAAATTCTCAATGCATGAAAAGAAGGGGATGAAGAATACAGAAGGGAGATCCTTTAAAAAAAAAAAATTCACTACAATAGATAACCCTCCTCCACACTGAGTGATGAGAAGTAGGGAAAGTAGATTAACCAGGTTAAAGTGTAGCAGGGACATTTTTGTGAATGACTGCCACCAGCAGATCACAGTATTGGAAATATGCAACTGGAAGGGAAATATAAGGGTAAAGAAAAAGCTGCTCTGGTTAAACAAGAGGTAAGTGATTCCAGAAACTCAACTCCTGCTCTCCTCCATCCCTGTCCTTAGCTCTTCTACAGACTTGTTTGAGACAGGGTCTCCCTCTGTCGCTGAGGCTGGAGTGCAGAGGCAGGATCAGACCTAGCTGTAACCCAGAACTCCTGGCCTCAAGCGATCATCCTGCCTCCCAAAGCGCTGGAATTACAGGTGTGAGCTACCACGCCCTGCCCTCCAGACCATTTTTGAGGAAGCAAGGCGGCAGTGACAGAAGTTCAGGCCTCAAATCTTATGATCTTGTCCCATATTAATTCACAACTCATTAATTCAAAATCTGTTCATTCACAAACTAATCACTCCTTCAACTCCTAACAACATAGACGCCATAAATAAGCAATGGCGAACTAATTTTTTTTTTTTTTGAGACAGAGTCTCGCTGTCGCCCAGGCTGGAGTGCAGTGGTGCAATCTCCGGTCATTGCAAGTTCCGCCTACCCAGTTTATGCCATTCTCCTGCCTCAGCCTCCCGAGTAGGTGGGACTACAGGCACCCGCCACCCCACCCGGCTAATTTTTTGTATTTTTAGTAGAGACGGGTTTCACCATGTTGGCCAGGATGGTCTTGATCTCCTGACCTCGTGATCCGCCTGCCTCGGCCTCCAAAAGTGTTGGGATTATAGGGAAGAGCCACCGCGCCTGGCCGAATTGAGTAACTTCTTCTCTGGTACCTTGAAAGCTTCTAATATATAACACATTATTGTAATCATCTTTAAGTACACAGGTCATATTTTCCCTTTTCAGAGAACTTCCCCACTTCCTTTCCTTCAATCCATCAGGATAATCTGTTGATTAGGTTTGTGTGCTTTGACTCTAAGTCCTTGGCTATAGATGATCAGAACAGAAGTAGAGCCTGACCTAAACTCAGCCAATCAAATTCTCTATCCCGGAAGAACTGGAAGAGAGGTAGGCTGGTATTCTGGTCACCTGGACTGAAAGGCAACAAGGTATAGAGCTGCCATACTGTGCTATGACCAGCCAAAATCTCTGGTACCGGCTCACATAGCAGTCTCCAAAACTGAAATGGTCAGGCAACCCCTTAACAGTTGCCTCATCTAATAAACAACCCACCCCCACCCCTGCCACACACACACATACAAGTCTAAAAAGCAAAGGCACAAGGGTCACCAAACCACACTGAGAATGACCTTTCCCAAAATTTCCTACCTCCAGTATAGATGCAGCACTAGCCAGGATGTGAACTGCTCTGATTATACTTGTCCAAAATGAGTGGTTTTGGAAGGGTAATGGAAATCTTCTCTGTGGCTTATCAGCAGCCAAGTATGTGGCATCCAGATCGGCTGACCAATTTCTCTACTGCCAAGAAGTTAGCCAAGAAACTAATGCCCATAATTTTTCCTGGTCCTATAATTTACTTGACCATCACAATATATTTTGAACCAAGGACCATCATTTTGAGAATCCAAGATTTCTTCCCCTTTTCTTTCTATTCAGTTTTTCAGTCTGTTTTTCTTCCTTTATTATAATGTCACACAAGAAGGATGTTACCAATCATTTAATTTAGGATCAATCACAGGATGATGGCTAGAAGCTCCACCTAGACCCCAAAGTACCAGAACAAAGCAGTGTAGCTCGGGCTCTGAAAAGCCCAGACTCTAAAGCTACATGTCTAAGATTAAAAATCTCAGCTTTTCAAGTCTCAAGCTGTGTGATTTAGGTCAGGTTAACCTCTCTGTGCTTCGTTTTCTTCAAAACATTGTGAGAATTAAGTATAGAAAAAAAGCTTAGACCAAAACCAGGCATGGAATAACCACTATATTAAAATGGGTATGTACCATCATCATCATTATGGTCTGTAATGGGATGTAGGGGCGGGATACAGTTCATATTCAAGTGTAGGGTAACATGGGTCTGCACAGAGTAGTTAAGGCAAAGAAAAGCAGATGATGCTTACTGCATGTGCCCAGCCTGTACCCCTCCCTCCTCTGAAAATTCTCCCCAGTTAGTCTCTGTTGGGCACTTCATATGAATTGTGGGAGAGGGGCCATCTTCTAACAAATGCAAGAAGTAAAGACAGCTGATTTACAGGAAGAGGGGATGATGCTGATCACAAAACAAGAGAGGAAGACAGAAAGGAAGAGAAAAAGGGCTTCTTTGGTTTCTACCACTTTCCAGTTGCTAGCTGCACGCCAATCTGAGCACTGACTGCTTTTACTCTGCTCTGTAAGAGCGAGTAAATTCTCCGCTTTACATTAAGCTTTGGCCAATAACATTCACAAAAGTCTAACAAAAATACTGGAAAGTTTTCATTAACAACGAAAAAAAAACTTAGAAAACTTGTATACCTCTGTTACTACACAAAAATTAAAACTAGATGGCAGGTAAAAATAAATATAACCTCAGAGTTCAGTCTTCTCAACCCATCCTAAATCTAATGCATGAATTTACAGAGGTGACACGTTCAGGGTTCCTTGTTTCAAAAGCTCCACAGGTGTTAAAAGCTCTACAGCTGGGGCTCTGAGCCACTAAAATCCTTACACTTATCAAGTATGAACACCCTTTATCTAAACATGGTTCTCTGCATAAAGTACTACGGGGCATAACATGTATTAATATGTGTTTACTGGGAACTTAATCATTATTTTTGAAATAGGAGGGAATATGGCAGGCACTATGCAAACTCCAACAATCTGTTTAGAGCAGAACATACATTCTTTTGCTCATGTCCACCAAGCAGGTAACCAGCCAACATCCTTCCCCCATCCCATCCCTTGCGGAAAACAATAAATATACAAAACTGAACCTTTTACCGGATTCCTCTTCCTTATTTGAAAAAGAAATCGTAACATCATAAGTGTTACACAAACGAGTTGCAGTAAATTTAATTTCAAGTTTACACTCATCTCTACTGTAAAATACATTTTAAAAAAATCAGGGTTTCCGTCTGTAAACATTTCATTTAATGTCGCCAGTAATTCAGCGATACACACAAAATAAATCCATCCCATTCGTCACACTTAGTTTTGTTTTAGTTAAGGACTTTGAAGGTTATCAGTCTGGGGGGGCAGTCTTTTCTGTTCTACCCCCGTCACAGCCCTATTCCAAACCTCTGCTATACAAAGGCATCAACAATAAAGTTATTTTGTTTTAAGGCTAAGAAGAAAAAAATATTTCCTCAAGAGTAAAAGGGGTGCACAAACCTCACAACACAGACTTTGCAGATTTCTTACTACAGCACTAAGAAAACATCGAGGTTTAAGGCCGATTATTGAAGGCAGGATTCCTCAAACGCCAGGCTCCTCTCGAAGATGTTAGGAGGCATGGGTGGGAGAAGGGGCCTTTTCTTGTGACAGACTTGACTAAACAGTAGCATCAGCCATAAGAAGAGAGATTCCTAAACGCAACTTTACCTTTCAGAAAACAGTCCTCCACCAACTGAGTAGCATGCAGACTTGCGAATCGCCACAGACACGTACACCCCGGTGAACGTGGGAGATCAAACGTTGCTTCCCACCTCGGCCCTCACTGCTAACCGGGATGTCGGGTCCCCATGTGACCCTCCCGGAGGGCTCCCCGGCCCCCCGCGCCAGGTGTGCGGACCACCGGCAGCACTCAGGGGCCGGCTCGCCGCGGCTCAGGCCCGCCGCCCCCGCACCGCCCGCGTGCCCTCCGCCGGACCGCTCCCCTCCCCCGCGCGCTCAGCGCCCGTTCGTCCGCGGGCCGGGGCTCAGGGCTCCGCCAACCGGCCCCGGAGGCACGAGCAGGCTGCGGCCGGCGACGTTGCGGTTTCCCCACCTCCTCTCCCATCCCCTCCCCCGCGGCCTCCGCTCTCCACTCCCGCGCCCCCGCTTACCCTCAACTCTTCGAAATCCGCCATTTTATACCACCCGCGGGCGCCGCCGCCGCTGCCGCCGCACCCACTCCCGCTGCCTCCAACGACGCCGCCGCCACCACGGCCGCCGCCGCCTCCAGCACCATCCTGCACTGGGCGCCGCTTAAGACGCCGCGGCCGCCGCCGCTACCGCCGGGCCCGTCACGTGAACGGCGCGGGAGCCCCGCCCCCGACGCGCCGAAGCCCCGCCCCTAGCGGTGCCCCCTGCCCACCCGCGCGACCGCCTTCCGCCCGCGCCTTCCGTCCGCCCGGCGACGGCGCGCGCCCGCCCGCAGCTACCCCGGCGTGCTACCCAGCGGCCTGGCCGCGCGTCGTGCCTTCCCTCCCCGGCGGAGGCCCCTGCGGACTTGCCTAGAGCTGGGTCGCAAATGAGGCGTTATCCGCGGGCCTGGCCTGGGGAAGTGGCGGGGAGGAAGAAGAGGCGGCCGGGACGCGTGTCAGGAGCATTCGGGAAGATTCTTACGTTGCCCTTCACGCGGTAGCTATGGACGGAAAAGCCGCCTCAAATAAAACCATCCCCCAGAGTAGTTGTGGCGGAATTATCTAAATATGGGTAAGCTATTGTTCCCATCTAATGGTGAGGTTGTGTGACACCTTTTTGAATTGCTAATGTCCTCCAAGTACCAACCTTGCCGAGTTTTTCTGACTTTCAAGGGCACCTGACGGTCACGGACTGCAGAGTTGGGAGAGTGAGGGTTGGAGGAGAAGTGAAATAAGAGCGCTCAGAAGGGCCATGCTATAAAGTCAGGGAAATCTGATAGCTAGGAAAGAGTCAAACACCAAGGCAGAGTAAGTAGATAGAAGCTTGATGCCCCCCCCCCGCCATAATGTGCTGATAAAGGATGAAGGAAGATGCTGATTCAAGACTGTCAGAAAAATCGCTGGATGGTGTCCAGGGTTCAATTTCCTTGAAGAATTGGGTGGAACCCACCCACGAAAGGTCTTTAAAACAATGTAACTTTTAAGGCCGTATTTAATCAGCTTCCTACCTACTGCCTCTTCCCACTACCCCTCGTTTCATCCGCACTGCACTTCCAGGTGTTCCTTCCACTCTGCCCCCACACCCCGCAAGTTTGTTATGTTTTTTTGAGACGGAATTTTGCTCTTATTGCCCAGGCTGGAGTGCAATGGCACGATCTTGGCGCAATGTCTGCCTCCCGGGTTCAAGCGATTCTCCTACCTCAGCCTCCCGAGTAGCTGGGATTGTACTTTTGGTAGAAATGGGGTTTCTCCTTGTTGGTCAGGCTGGTCTGGAACTCCCGACCTCAGGTGATCCACCCGCCTTGGCCTCCCAAAGTGCTCGAATTACAGGCGTGAGCCACCGCACCCGGCCTCCCGTTAAGTTTTAAGGCCTCTAAATGTTGATCCTTGAACCAAGAATAATTTCCCACTCTCTTCTTTGTTCCTAACTCCTGTTCATCCTTCAGGTTTCACTTTAAATGTCACTTCCTCAGGAAGACCATCCTCACTCACATCCCACATTTTAATTCAGAGTCCCCTGTTATGACCTCTCCTAGGAACCTGAACTTTTTCTTCCTGAGATGTCTCCATGGTAATTATGTAGGTATTTGTGTGATTGTTTATTTGATATACATATGTGTGTATATATACACACACACACATATTATTTTGGCCGGGTGCAGTGGCTCATGCCTGTAATCCCAACAGTTTAGGAAGCCGAGGCAGGCGGATCCCTTGAGGTCAGGAGTTCGAGACCAGCCTGGCCAACATGGTGAAACCCCCGTCTCTACTAAAAATGCAAAAATTAGGCCAGGAGCCATGGCTCACGCCTGAAATTCCAGCACTTTGGGAGGCCGAGGCAGGCGGATCACCTGAGGTCAGGAGTTGGAGACCAACCCGACCAACATGGAGAAACCCGATCTCCACTAAAAATACAAAATTAGCCAGGCGTAGTAGTGCTTGCCTGTGATCCAGCTACTCGGGAGGCTCAGGCAGGAGAATTGCTTCAACCCGGGAGGCAGAGGTTGCAAGGAGCGGAGATAGCGCCATTGCACTCCAGCCTGGGCAACAAGAGCGAAACTCCATCTCAAGAAAAAAAAATTAGCCGGGTGTGGTGGCACATGCCTATAATCCCAGCTACTCGGGAGGCTGAGACGGGAGAATTGCTTGAACCCAGGAGGCGGAGGTTGCAGTTAGCTGAGATGGCGCCATTGCTCTCCAGCCTGGGCAACAAGAGTGAAACTTTGTCTCAAAAAATAAAGATGAATAATTTTTAAAAAATTTTTTATTAAAAAATTGTAAACCCACTAGACTATAATGGCTGATAAATGCCTAACAAATAGTTGGCCTTGTATTTGTTTAATGAATAAAGGAAGGAATGAACGATGTCCAGGTTCTAAATCTGTCCACCATTAACTTTGTGAGCTTAGCTTGGCTTATTCTTACTCTTGATTTATTCGTCGTAAACCTTGATTTACACCTCAGTAGAATTTAACATTGTTTAGTAGACATTAAATGAATGTCACTGTGCAAGGAGTTTTCAGGGAATAGATGAATAGAGTACAATACAGCCCTGCCACGGAGGAGCTTACACCTGTAAAGGGGACCAACATAAACACAAAACAGTAAGAGAAGCAAAGCAAAGCCCTACTGAAACTTACCTTCAGTGTTCGTTGTAGTTGCTTCTCAGCATTCATTCTGCCCCTTCCTCAATATGTAGCAGCTCCTGGGTGGGTTGGGTAGGTTTGACTGCAAAGAGTTCTAGGTGGTGCCCTAGACTGGCCTGAGCCATTAAGGACTGTTAAAGTCATTCTGGCCACAGTATTAGATCACACCTGGGCATATAAATCTAATTAGTACTGAGCATTTATAGGCTTTGCCAAGTAGATCAAGTGTGGACCCATGCCCTAAGGTAGGCCAATCAGAGGGAAGCCTAGGACATTTATTCACTGATTAAAGATAAGACTTTCTGGCATGTGGAACACTCGCCATTTTGCTACAGTGAAGAGCCAACCTGAGAACCAACCCTTCTCATGAGCAGAAAGATCACACACACAAAATCTCAGCATTGACTTTGATACTCACCCTTCCTCTGTACTGGCCAGTTTTCTTGAGCCAATGCCTTTCTTGTAAGGTTTTAGGTTGTTTGACTTGAGATTTCTATTAGTTGCAATGGAAAGAATTCTGAAGTAGGGTGCTACTTTGTCTTACCAGACCAGATTATTAATTTGGCATTTTTTCTAATCTATACTCCCTAATAATCATTCAATATATGTTCAAAGGAATGGCTGAGTGGTAAAGGGTAGAAAGGGCATGTCTCTCTTCACTGTTGTGATCATTTCTGCTCTGGTCTAGCTTTATATATCCTCGTTAAAAAGAAATCCCTGCGCTTACTTGAATCCAACTTCCTTATAACGTGGTAATGTTGTATACCCTTAGAGGAGAGTGGAGAAGGAGGGAGGTGCAGTAATCACTCACAAAAGGCCACATATCAAAGTACCAGTTCCAGCCACATGCTGAACTCTTCTACCAGAGGAATTCTATTAAATATATCCTTTGTCTTTATTACATTCCCAGTGAAAAATGTTTTAGTGCTCTTTATGAACTCATATACCTGATAGATCAGGTATATGAGTGTACTTTGTAAACTCATAAAGTGAAAGATGGTAAATTTTTTGTATCTAAACAGCTGACTAAGCTGATTTTGAATCTAAACAGCTGATAAACACATACCCCCCCCAAAACAGCACTTCATTAAGAAACATAATTAAGAACCCTATGATATATCCTAGTAATTTTAGCAAAGAGTATTCCAACCTGGTTGGACCAACCTTGTAACACTGAGTTTAGTTCCAAGCACCTATCTTCTTAATCTGTTCGCATCCTGTCTCTGAACCCATTAGACTTTACCAATTTTAATATCTTTCTTTTCCTTCCAACTGATTACTTCCTCTCTCCCTGTAACAGTGCTCAGGCCTCCCAGATGTTTTCCAAGCCACTTTTCTTCTTTTGCTAAGCATATATCTATTTATATCACATTTTCTAACTCCTATACACTTTGCCAATACTGTCTTAGTCTTAGACTTTACCAAAACTAATATCAAGGAAACTGAACAAGGAATTAAAAAAAATTTTTTTCCTCGCTTTTTTTTTTTTTTTTTTTTTTGAGACAGGGTCTCACTGTGTTACCCAGGCTAGTAGAGTTAGTTCAGTGGCATGATCACAGCTCACTGCAACCTTCACCTCCCAGCTCAGACAATCTTCCTACCTCAGCCTCCCAAGTAGCTAGGACCATGGGCACACCACTACCCCTGGCTAATTTTTGTATCTTTTGTAGAGACAGGGTTTCACCATGTTGCCCAGGCTGTTTCAAACTCCTGGATTTAAGTGATCCTCCCACCTTGGCCTCCCAAAGTGTTAGGATTACTGGCGTGAGCCACCGCTCCCGGTCTCAACTTTTTATTCTGAAAACCTTAATCACAAATTTGTTGCTTCTCCACTTTCACTGCGTCACTTGACTAGCCTTTAAAAAAATAATAATAATAATTAAAAAATAAAAAGTTGAGGCTAGGCATGGTGGCTCACGCCTATATTCCCAGCACTTTGGGAGGCTGAGGTGGGTGGATCACCCGAGGTCAGGAGTTTGAGACCGGCCTGATCAGCATGGTGAAACCCCATCTCTACTAAAGAAACAAAATGAACCAGGTGTGGTAGCACATGCCTGTAATCCTAGCAACTTGGGAGGCTGAAGCAGGAGAATCGCTTGAACTCAGGAGGCAGAGGTTGCAATGAGTGGAGATCACGCCATTGCGTTCCAGCGTGGGCAACAAAAGTGAAACTCCATCTCAAAAATAAATAAATAATAAAAAGTTGAAACATAAACTTCGAAAGCATAGCAGAATGGTCACCTGTATAAAATTTATAATTTACATATAATTAAATCCTTATGTCTGAAGTAAACACTTCAATCCATATAAAAAAATTCTTATCAAGGTACAGAACATTTTCATCAATCCCCAGAAAGATCCCTATTCCCCCTTCCCAGTCAAACCTCCCACCAGAAACAACTTTTGATCTGATTTCTTTCTTTCTTTTTTTTTTTTATTGAGATGGAGTCTCACTCTGTTGCCCAGGCTGGAGTGCAATGGTGCAATCTCAGCTCACTGCAACCTCCACCTCCTGGGTTCAAGCAATTCTTCTGCCTCAGCCTCCCGAGTAGCTGAGATTACAGGCATGTGCCACCACGCCTGGCTAATTTTTTTTTGTACTTTCAGTAGGCACGGGGGTTTCACCATGTTGGCCAGGCTGGTCTCGAACTCCTGACCTTGTGATTCACCCACCTCGGCCTCCCAAAGTGCTGGGATTACAGGCGTGAGACACTATGCCCGGCCTTGATCAGATTTCTAATACTAAAATTTAGTTTTTTATATTTTAACATTACATATAAGTGGAATCATACAGCGTATGCTCTTCTGCTTGGCTTTTTAAATTCAGCATAAATTATATGAGGTTGATATGTTGCGTATTTCAATTCTTTTTTTTTTTTTGAGACAGAGTCTCACTCTGTTGCCCAGGCTAGAGTGCAATGGCGTG